TCCTTTCTTATTATTATCAATTTTGTATTAAAGAATAATTTTACAAAGGAAAGAAACATATATGGACATATTTTGCATATAATTATATATAATTATATATGGAACTTTTTTTCCCGGGTCATTTAGTTTCCAAGCACAATTGCAGAGCACGGTACATATAACAATTTCTAATAATTTTTATTGTTAATTGTCTACGTGAAAAAGATTCATGTCAACAATATAACGTAAACAATATATACAATAAATACTCCATGTACGATATAATATAATTTATTATGTTTTTTTAATGTTTTGCTATATTGCTTTTGCAATAGCTGTCAAAAAATATACAATAAATTAATTTTTGCAATAAATTAATTGTTGTTTATAATATATTTGTATTATAAATTATTAGATAATTCGTATTTTCATATAAATCGTATTATAAATTATTATATAATTCGTATTTTCATATAAATCGTTATTATCCTGTTGAGTCGAGTCCGCGAGTAGCAAGTGGCAAAGATTCGAGGAAACGTTTCCTTGGGAACGAGGAAAACATATATATGTATGTACATTGACTGAATCATTTTCCATGGAAATATTTCTTATAACTCGCGACCTTTGTGCGGCCGATCTTTCGTCTTAAATTAGTTACGAATGAAATCGCATTGCGGTTTGCGGTATGGCAAAATCCGAAGTGGACGTAAATCGTGCACCGTTTATTCCAACCGCGAGGTTTACGTTGAACGAGTGGCATCTCGACAATCAGTTCAGGTACGAGCGTGTTAAGTCACGCGTGCGACATTACATAAAATTACGGAAAATCTAAAGCTAAAATTGCCCCAAGTTTCCTGTATAAAACCCTTCGAAGTCTTTGCGCCATGAGACTTGAGATTTGAAATGTACGCGTGTTGCTCAATCCTCCGGATATGTATAAATTCTAAGGAGAAAGCGAATAATTATATAAGTTCTTATCAGAAAATTACTCGAGCGCACGTATACTTAAATCCGTATTTGAAATCTGACTTTTAAAATTCCTTTCTTTTTGTTTTCACATATATGACTATTATAAATTCAGGGATTGGAAGTAACTCGTTACTTGTAACGCCGTTACAGTTTTTTTTTTTTATAACGGATTGGTAACGACGTTATTTTATTTTTTTGGTAACTGTAACGGTAACGATTTATACAGTTACTTTTATCGTTACTTTTTGTATTTAAAATTTTTTTGTATTTATGACAAAATTTTCGTATACTGGGTGTCTCATAATAGGTGTATGACCGTTCATGGGTAGGTAGAACGGACTAAACTGAATCGAAAAGTCCTCTACCATTTTGCAAAATTCGCAATCGTTAACAAGATATTAATTTTTGAAGATCGGCGAATAAACTTAATATCTCGTTAATAAATGCGAATTTTATAAAATAGTAGAGGACTT